CTGAGGAATACGCTCCTTGGCAGTGCATTGCACAAAAGCTTTTCTCCAGAGGAATTCTACCTGAAATTAAACCTATATTGATTTCATAGTTCCCAGGACTGTGTATCCAAGGTGTAGCCCACACCAAGCTGTGGCTGCTACTGGTGTACACCCCAGTGGGGTGGCAGAGGGTCCTTTTGTTTTCAAACAAACCAGTAAAACATTTGTACAAACAGTTAACTGCTAACAACAACCACAGATGCCTGTATCATAGGCAAAGAAAGAGCTGGTGGTGACTAAATCTGTCGTGGTGTGCAACACAGGTTGGTGTGCAAGCAAAAGTAATGACCATAATTACTTTTTGCTTCTGTATTCTACTTGCGTGTGGTCTGTGTCTCTTCTCAGGATATGAACATGATTCCTTCTCCCGAGCACTCACTAAAACTATTGGCATTGAGGAGACCAGAATAATTCCACTCCTGACTGTGGTTAGTTGCCAGTGTAATGCTGTGAAATTTTAACTAGAAAGGATTCACCAACATTGGTCAAAATTGCTGTCTGTATTAAACATTCTCCCAGCTCTCCCCAATGACAAAGGGAGCCCAATGTGCAGATGCAGCAATAGACTGTGTTTCTGCATACATGTGCACACTGCAGCTGACGAGAGCTTTGCTGAATAGAGATCATTTGGCTCAAACGATCCTTGCGGGACAATTTTGATATGAATTCTATGATCATTTTGGGGTGATTTGTCACAAAAGTATTCCTTAGTATGAGGAATTTCATCTCCTTACACTTTTCTAAAGGACTGAGACCAGCTGTAGGCATTTCCTCCAAATTTCTCTGCGACGTTTTTAATCTTTAAGATCGTTTGAGAGTCTTCTCAAACTGAGACTCTGCCTTTAAGGACCAGTTAACGTGGCTGATTTATTAAGCCTTTTGACAAGGAACGCAGTGCAGTGAAAAGACAAAGCCTTCCAAACATGCCCGAGGTTCTTTCTGCCAGCAGGCCCTGATGCTGCATACAGCTCCAGACAGCCAAGGCAAAATGTGCCTTAGGAAGCCTGAATTTCAGCATCAGAATAAGCTGAAGTAATTACAAATTATTATTAGTCCAGCTTTGGACTCCAGCTCTTCCAGAGCCTGCTGTAAGATGGTGCAGAGTCGTGGCTCCAGCCTGGGGACCAATGCCAGGGACAGGCTGTCACCCTGATGCTGGCACAGAGCGTGGTTGCTCCGGTGTTGCTGGCTCTGGGGATCCTGTTCCATGCCCTCAGCATCACCGAGCTAGAGAAGGGAATACACAGGCTCACCTGCACATCTCCCCTCTCCTGCTCCTTCCTGGGCTGCTGAATCTGTCAATGGCTTTGCTGTAGATCCACATCCTTTGCATAACAAGAAGGTGTGTAAGTTTGGGTGGGGGCGTTCTGGTTTTGCAGCCCTCTGTTGTTAGAGGAGAAAGATAAAGGTCAACCATTCATGAAGAGTGAAGGGCCAGATTCTGCTGTCACTTACACAGGGACAAACCTACAGATCTCGGAAACGTGGGAATTGGGAGAACCCCCAACACGGGTTATTAGAGGAGTCAGTGGGTCTGTGCTGAGGTCTCTCAGCAGAGTTGAGTGCCCTGTCAACTCTGTGCCTTGCCTGTACTAACCTTTGTTTCCTCTGTCTCTCTCACCTGGCAACTGCTCTCCTCCCTGGTCTCCCTGCGCTCCGATCCAGATGGCTATAAGGAATGACTCTCTGGATAGCAAGGAGAATCTCCACACTGAGGTGAGTGAACTCTCTGACCCAAATGTCCCTGCTGTGCCCAAGGAGGAGTCACCAGTGGCTCTGACGCCCTCAGAAGCGAATGAGTTGGCTGCATGGAGTCGGGTGAGCGTTCATACGCAGCAGCATTCCCACAATCAGTATAATATTTCAAAGCAGGCACCAGCATCCTGTGCTTGTGCAGACTCGTATCAGGAGACAGCTGGAGATTCAATGGACCAAGAAGTATCTGAAATAAACAGCTCCTCGGAGCCTTTCACTTCAGAAACTTGTACAGCCTCGAGTGCCTGTTCAGAGGGTCAGCCTCTCACTCCTAAGAGGAACATAGGCAATACCGGCAACGTGACACTGAAGGACCTGAAGAAATACCACAGTGTAGACACCCAGGGTCTTCTAAAAAAACCACCCTCTTGGTTAGATGATCAAAGGAGACATTCAATAGAAATTTGTTCCATGGAAAACAGCCCTCAGCACCATTCCACATCCAGCTCCTCTGGCTTCATAAGTCAGGTGGTCAGTGAAATGGAAGGCTTGCAAGGAACACGACAGAAGAAAAAACTGAGCCCTCCCTGTATATCTATAGATCCACCTGATGGGCAGAGTTTGGTAGCTAGAGGACCTCACAGCCTCTCACCTGCCAGTGGAGACATTTGCTTGAGGCGGCGCGCTCCATCCTGTGAGTCCAAGGATTCCATGGATATAGGGGATTCGCTGCTTCCAGACAGTATGTCAACATCTCCTACCCCAAAGAAAGACTTGTTGACACTTCCTAGCTTTTCCTTTGATCAAACAGAAACGGACCCTTGAGTTACTTTTCTGTTGGTGCCAAATGTTTTCTTCCTTTCATGTAATAGAAAAAAAATGATAAAAATTGAAAGAACTCTGTACTCCAAAATGGCACTGGGTAAAAAAATTTCCAAAGAAAGATTAAAGAACCAGCTGGTTAAAAGAGTGGTTAACCTATATCACGCTTACTTAAGCATATGTTCTGCTTAGGTAAAAGCAATACAATGTGCAGAATCTATATGTATATTATATTTTATTAAATTAATTGAATCTAGTATTGCGGGATGTAGTACATTTTGTGACTAAAGACTCATTTAATTTTCTTCTATTTTATGTATCTCAGAATATTTCTGAGATAAAGTTGGTTTTTA